AAATAAATAAATAAATAAATCTTTAAAAAAAAAAAAAACAACAAGACTGGCCACTGACAGGAAACACTGGGACTTTGTAAACCTGAGATAAGTCCTCATAGGACTTCAGAGGCGGGAGAGAAGGTGTGAACTGGAAGCTTCTGGAAAGTTTTCTGTAAGTTAATGAGTCCTGTGTAGGGATTGGTTAGGAGGGGGAGAGCACTGAGTGGCATCTCCCCAGCCATTGCAGCCTGATACGGTCTGGGCAGCCCTGAAGAGGAGGAGATGTCACAAAAGGACAGTGTGACCAAACGGATATCAGTGATTACCTGCAGGGGGAGGTAAGTAAAATTGAAGGAGGGGAGGAGGATCAAAGGAGAATAAGATCATAATCCTATTGTTTCCTTTTTTACAAGGAGGCTGGATTCTTACATTTACTGTGTAATTCAGTACTAACCCTTTTTAAAGATTATATTTGAGGGGGATCGGAAAAAGAGTAGGGGAAGTCACTGCTAGACAGGAGGGCCTAGCCCTTTCCTGCCCACTGGCCTCCCATCCGTTTAGCACCAGCCTGCCTTGCCACCTCCTTCTTCCCCTCCGTCCTCTAAAACCAGCCACCTGGTTTCCCCAGCAATGCAGGGAGCCTCCTTGAATCCCCAAAGACATCAAGACCTTAGGAAATTAGTGTTACACTCCATATTGGAGGGTGGGGTGGCAGATTGCCACAGGAGCTAAGACACAGAGGTGGCCTGTGTTAGGAGAGGGGAAGACAGCAGGCCACGAAGTTGGAAACTACTACAGTGTTGAGTGGCCACTGTATGCCAGGTTCTGGTCTAAGAACTCTGCACACTTTTCCTTTTTGATTTTTTTTTTCATTTTAATTTTTTTAAAGTAAGCTCTACACCCAACGTGGGGCCTGAACTCACGACCCCAAGGTCAAGAGCCACATGTCCCACCCACCGAGCCAGCCAGGCACCCCATACTTACAAGAAGTAAGTATGGTTATTCCAAAAAGAAAGAAGCACTGAAAAGTTAGGTAATTTGTCCAAGGTCAGTCTGCTAGAAATTGGCCAAACTTGGCATTGAGCAAATGTTACAATGGCTGTGAAACTGAAAACACACAGTAATGAGAAACACAGATTGTCTCGTGTTTCTTCTGCAACCTTATGAAACTTCCTGGGCCTCACAACCGAGAGGGAAATTGTCACTTGATTATCTGATAAAAGCGATAAAACTGGCAATCCCACCCCACCCTTCATCTTTCTCGTTTGTCAGAGGTGTTGATGAACAAATGGGGAGGAGGAGGTGGGGCAGGGAGAGGTGAGGGAAGGAGCCCAGCTTGTCAGGGCAGCACTAGGCTGTGGGCTTACCGCAGTTTGTCCCCCTTAAATGGAAACTCCAGTCCCCCCCTACACACACACACACACACACACACACACACACACACACACACACACACCCTGTGTCCCCAGGGAGCCTTCCTCCATTAATGACCATTTTCCTTCCTGGCAGCCTCACCTCTGCAGCCCTTTCTCTCCACAAGATCACAGCCCAGGACCTCCTGTATTGGGGGATTCACTGCAGAGAACATTTGAACATTCGTACATTGAACAATCATATATGGAATGCCTGCTAGGTTCTGAGCATACAGCCCTGAGTGAGATGGATAAGGACCTGCCCTCTTGGAGTGTACATTCTAGAGGGGAGAGACAGGCAATGAATAAAGAAGATGGTTTCAGATGGTGATACTTGCCATCAACAGAAATAAAACAGGGAGATGTGTCAGAGAGAAACTCGGGAAAGGAACTACTTCAGACTACAGGGAGCAGGCTGTTCAGGAAGGTTTCTCCAATAGGTGACATTAGACCCAAGGTTTAAGTGACAGGGGTCAGGTCAGCATTCAAAACAGAATGACTAGCTGGGACCTACCTGCTTCCTTCTCTGGGCTCCCCCACGTGGATGAGATTCCAGCTGCTATGTCATCATTCATCCTCAAAGCTGTCTCCCCACCAGACGAAGCCCTGAGCCCAGGAGCTGGTTCCTGTCATCTACAGCTCCAAGGTGCCCAGTGCTGTGCCTGGCACACAACACACAGTCAGGAAATCTCGGATAATTCATGGATGCATGACAAAATGATTAAATGTACTGAGGGGTGTCCCTGAGTATGAGAACCAAACATCTACTCTTAGCCTGGGAGATTCCTGGTCTGGGGTTCCTCAGCCCTTGAGGGTTCTGTTTGATACTACTGGGTTAGCCAGAAATGCCTATAAAACCCTGCATTTCTGGGCAAGGTCTAGGCAGTATTGAACTCTTGTGTCTTTATTGAGGATGAGGAACTTCTTAGAGGAGGAAAAACAGAGGCCAGGGGTGAGGATGAAACTGGAGAAAGAGGCCCCCGTCAAGGCCTGGCGTGCTGAAACCCTGGTCTGAGAGTCAGGGTGAGTCCTGTCCCTCACCAGTAGACTGGCTTGGAAAAGTCACTTCACCCCCCCCCGCCCAGGGCTTAGGCGATTCCAGGTCCCGTCCCCCACCAACAGTCCATACTCAGGAATAGCCGAGGATAGAAGATGAAGGAGCTCACCAAGGAAGTGGCTGAGAACATCCTTGTCTCCACAGTACCCTAAACAAATACCTGTCTCAGTGCACAAATGAAGGGAGGAAAGGAGTCTGCAGGAATGAGCAGTGAGGGAGGAAGCCAAAGAAGCAGCAAGCAGCTTGGGAATCACAAAGACCCATCTATCTATCTATCTATCTATCTTTCTTTCTTTCTTTCTTTCTTTCTTTCTTTCTTTCTTTCTTTCTCTTTTCTTTCTTTCTTTCTTTCTTTTTTTCTTTTTCTTTCTCTTTCTCTCTCTCTCTCTCTCCCCCCCCTCTCTCTTTCTTTCTTTTTCTTTCTTTCTTTCTTGTAAGCTCTCTGCCCAATGTGGGACTGGAATTCTCAACCCCAAGATCAAGAGTCACATGCTTGGGGTGCCTGAGTGTCTCAGTCTGTTAAGTGTCTGCAGACTCAGGCTGCTTCTCTCTCTCCCTCTGTCCCTCCCCCTGCTCGTGCGCTCTCTTTCTCTCTCAAATAAATAAAATCTTTTTTAAAAAAAAGGTCACATACTCTACAGTTGAGTCAGCCAGGTGCCCCACGAAGACCCATTTTTCTTTTTCTTTTTTTTTTAAGGTTTATTTCTTAGAGAGAGCAAGGGGAGGGGCGGGGGAGGAGTGAATCCTCAAGCCGACTCCCTGAGGAACGCGGAACCCGACTCGGGGCTCAATCCCACGACCCTGAGACCATGACCAGGAGACTACAGTGTGAGCGTAAACCAAAAGTCGGCCACTCAACCCACTGAGCCACTCAGGTGCCCCCACAAAGACCCATTTTTCAAATCCCAGCTTTATTTCCTCAAGAACAAAATGGAGAAAACACAACCTACCTCTTAGAATGATTGTGAAATGAAAAAAAAAATGTGTGTAAGGGCCCCATAGGCACCCTTCTTCCATCAGGGGGCCCTTTCAGATGCAACTCTCCCAAAACCCAGTCCCAGGGCCCCAGCCTTAGGGCTAGAAAGGAGCAGATGCTGCCCCCTGGTGGATATGTTTGTCACTGACTGATCCCTGAAGAAAAGTGGAGGAGTAGAGGTGAAGTTATATGCATGTAAGTTGTATGCAGGTTCCTTTGCCTCCTTCTGGAGTCTTCCTTTCAGACAGTGCCTTTCCTACAGTTTGAGGTTGGGAATGAAAAATCTACCCTCTTCAAGTTTTTCTGTGGAGCTGAGATCAGAATTAACATGATTGGAAGGGCACCTGGGTGGCCCAGTAGGTTGA